CCGATACGATTCGCAGATATGTGTTCAGACTTCCTAAGAAACGGCCACAAAGAGATGACGGAATAACCTTCAGCAAGAAAACAACCAATCAGAAGACGTTGCTTCACTGCTAACAATAACGAATAATAATGTACATAAAAATCTATGAATTTCTCTTGATTTTCTCAACAAACGATCTGTTGCCTGGCCCTTGTCTTCTGTCGTTACAATTGGTGTCGCTTCATCCCAACAGTGAAGATCCCATGGCCAACTGCGTTCGAACACGGAGACATACGGAGCTTCGAGTTGGTGAGTGTCAAGGAGCTGGCGGCGAAGACGGTTGTGCCGGGGACACTGCCGAGAGGCCGAGCGAAGGCGGCATATAGCAGCGTAGAGAGGTCAGGTAACACATCGTCTTGGAAGACATTGGTTGAACAATTGGTGTCAGAGTTTGACAGCGACCCGGCCGATAACTGCTACCTTGTCGTGGTGGTCGGGCTTGAATACCGCAATGACCCAACAAGCTGAACTGACTGGAACCCTGTCTCCACAGGTCCTACCATGTCAGGAAGGTTTTCTGGATAGCGGTTAAACTAAAAGCAGTTACCATGGGGTACATGGGCTCCAGTTTCCAATCGGATCAAATGGCGTATGAACCCACATGGGTCACCGGCAACCATGGGAATGCAGCTCCTGACGCTGCTCCGCTGCCTTGCGGATTAGACTCCAAGTCAAAGGCTCGGGGGTGGTCCCTTAATAAAGCCACCTGCTTCGGTCTGGGCGCCCGGGCAGTATCTCAGCCCGCACACAATGAATGAATTGAAGCAACGAACTCCCATTGAAACTCAAACGCGCTAGTTAAAATGATTCCAAGCAATATTGATCCCTCAGGGAACTTATTTCCTTCTTACCCTACTTTTATTTTTATACATAGTTTCCTGTATTGTACCTTTTCTAACCTTGGCTTCTTAACCTTCGACAGCCTTTCGCCTTTGTCGAGATTCCCAGCCTATCTGTGTCGTTTCGAGATGTTAGTGAGTAGTCCTCAAAATGGTTGTTCCCAATGTGACATCTAACACGGATATCCTGAAACCGCGTGCTGCGTTCAAGCTGGCTACCTACAATGTTCGGACGCTGATGCAAATCGGACAACAGGCAGGGTTGGCAAGAACTTTGGAAAGCCTCGCTATCGATGTCTGCTGCATTTCGGAGACCCGCATTCAAGATCCCAGTGAAGTGCTTCGACTATCCTCTCCATCTGGAAGTTCTAGTAGTATGTACCACCTGCGCTTATCCGGGGACCCTGTGGCGTCGGCATCCGGCGTAGCTGGTGTCGGTGTCGCACTGAGCGCTAGAGCCGAAGCTGCACTGCTCGACTGGATTCCCATTAACAGTCGTTTATGTGCTGTGAGGCTGGAAGGTTACACGAAAGTAAAGAGTAGTAGGCCAGATAGGCGGTGTCTATTTGTTGTCTCTGCCTATGCACCGACGGATTGCAGCCCGGATGCAATGAAGGATGAGTTTTACTACCAACTGAGCGATCTCTTGAAACAGGCGGGTCGGAGGGATATCGTAGTGCTGGCTGGGGACTTGAATGCACAGGTGGGGCGTCTAAGCTCAGAGGAGAATCGTCTAGGTGGTCAGTGGGGACTACATGGTCGCAGGTCAGATAATGGGGACCGTCTTCTGCAGCTTTGCGCGGATCACAACCTATTTCTAGCTAGCACCAACTTCCGGCACAGCCATCGCCGTAGCTCTACCTGGCGTCCTCCCTCTGCGAAGCAAGCTTGGACTCAGATTGATCATATCGCGGTCAGTTTCCGGTGGCGGGGATGCATACAAGACTGTCGCTCCTTCTGGAGCACATGCCTGGACTCCGATCATGCGTTAGTGTGTGCCAAGTTCGTCTTGCGATTTGGTGGGGTTCGTAAAAGCCGTCGTCTAAGCGTTGATGTGAGCAAACTAGTAGCACCTGCTACTTCTTTGAAATATCAGAATGAGTTAAAAACAATGCTTGCCAGCAACCCCCCAAGTAGTATAGATGAACATTGGCTTCATGTGCAAGGTGCCATGCAAAAGGCGAGTGTAGCCGCTTGCGGCTTGAAAGAATGCTCCGCTAACAACCACTGGGTTTCTGCGAGTTCCTTGCAACTCATGGATGAACGCCGGTCCATTCCGGCTGGCAGCGAATACAACAATCAGCGAAAGGCGCTCACGCGCAAGATTAGACAGTGTTTACGTAAGGACCGCGAAGCCTGGTGGTCAGAACGTGCGTGTGAGATGGAACAAAAAAAAAAAAAAAAAAAAAAAAAAAAAAAAAAAAAACTCATACGAGCCACCGGCGGCAAGAAACAAGGTGTCAGCGAGACGGTCTGTGAGGCAGATGGCACTCCAATTACCAGCCTGAAAAGACGCCTGGAACGCTGGGCAGAGCACTTCGGGAAGCAGTTCAGCTGGCCACCAGCTTCAGTGTCTACTATCATTAGCCCGAGTGCTCCTTGGTCGGTTAGTACCGACCCACCCACCGAAGCGGAGGTCCGTAAGGAACTCCAAGTTCTGAAACGCCATAAGGCGCCCGGCCCAGACAAATTACCCCCGGCTCTTTTTAAAGATGGTGGCGAGACTCTCACAATGGCTCTAACTGGGTTGTTCAGGAAGGTGTGGGAGACAGAGAGTGTACCATCAATGTGGAACGAAGCCATTATCGTCCCCATCTTTAAAAAGGGTCGACGTAATTCGTGTGACAATCATAGGGGTATCAGTCTGTTACCAGTCGCGTCTAAAATATTGGCTGCTGTCTTGCTTCGCAGACTGTGCAAAATACGTGAAGGATTGATTCGCGAAGAGCAGGCTGGGTTTCGTTCAGGTCGTGGATGCATTGATCAGGTGTTCACCCTTCGTCAGTTGTTGGAACACCGCCACACGTATTGCAGGCCAACGATCGTTGTGTTTCTTGATATTAGGGCTGCCTTCGATTCGTTGGACAGAACTGTGCTCTGGAACTGTCTGTTAGAGAGAGGTGTACCTGAGAAATTTGTTAACATCCTGAAAGCCCTATACAGAAACACCTCAGGTAGAGTGAGGGCATACAACCAACTATCACCACTGTTCCCAACCAACAGTGGGGTTAGACAGGGTTGCCCAATCTCTCCATTTCTCTTTAACTTTGCCATCGATGACATTCTGGAGTCAGCTCTGAAGGATGTGCGTGAAGGTGGTGTAGATCTGCTACCTGGAGATAGACTTTTCGACCTCGAGTATGCAGACGATATCGTCTTACTGTGCGATAGCATGCAGGCTGCCCAAATCGCACTTAATCAGTTGGCGATCAGTGTCTGTAAGTATGGTATGTGCTTTGCGCCGTCTAAGTGCAAAGTACTGTTACAAGATTGGCAGGAGCCTGTACCTGCACTCACTCTTGCGGGTGAACCGCTTGAAGTTGTTGATAAGTTTGTGTACCTGGGTAGTTGTGTGAGTGCTGGCGGAGGGGTGACGGATGAGATTTCCAACCGTATAATGAAGGCTAGGGTGGCATACATCAACTTGAGCCACCTCTGGCGCCGTCGCGACGTTAGCCTGGCTGTCAAAGGTCGGGTATACAATGCTTCGGTGCGAGCTGTCCTGCTCTACGCCTGTGAAACCTGGCCTCTCCGAGCTGAGGATGTGCGGCGACTCTGCGTGTTCGATCACCGCTGTCTCCGCAGGATTGCTTGCGTTCGATGGCATCATCGCGTGAGTAATTCTGAGGTTCGGCGGCGTGTGTTTGAACAAAGTGGAGATCACTATTCATTGAATGTCGTCATCTGGAAACACCGGCTCCGGTGGCTTGGACATGTGCTCCGAATGTCACCCCAGAGGCTTCCGTACAGGTCTCTGTTCGCTAGCCCTGGGACGGGATGGAAAAGGCGGAGAGGTGGTCAGTCCATGACGTGGCGTCGTGGGATGAAGGATTTTTGTGCTAGATTAGCATCGGTTGGTGTGTCACGACTCCCTGGTTGGGGTCCGAGAGATAGCTCAAATCGATGGCTCGAAACGTTATCGGATATGGCCAAGAATCGTAATCAGTGGCGAATGTGTTGTGATTTCCTTCTTTCTTCCCTTCCCGATGATAGCTAACGAACACTGTTTGAACTTGTTAAGCATGACTGTTTTCCTTCCAGATGAAGTTCTTTATCCGTTCTCTACTTATATATATTTTTTCTTTTCCTTCCTTCCTTTTTTTTGATCTATGTTGTTTTATTATTATTGTGTGGCGCATCTTTCTTGGTGCCATATTGTACCAAGTTTTTTATGCGTTTAAATAAAATAAATAAATAAAATTGACAGCGCAACAGACAGACGACTCTCACCACAAGTGTAGATAGTGGTTGGCTTATGTTGCACTTGCCGTTCATTTTATTCGGTGGAGATTCACTATCTCAATGACCAACTGGCTGTTCTGACTTAATACATTAATTATAGTGTGGATATTGCTTATCTTTAACTACTGGTTTAATTCTATGCAAATTATCGCATTTTATACGTAGTGCGTTGGTGGCACAGCGGTAGAATGCTCGCCAACCAAGCAGGTGGTTCGGGTTGCGATCTATCACCGACGGACTCCTTTTTACCTCGCTAAGCCAGTAATAAGATTGATGAAGAGGGAAGGTTGGGAATCACGCTACCAACCCTATCCCGTGAAAATAAATATCACTGCCACTGAAACGTCAAAGGTCTAGTTCGAAGCCCCATGTTCCATTGGGAATGTAAAGGAATTAGAAGAAAATAGTACTTAACACAATACATTTCTTGGCTTTTAGGATGGTTAAACTGATTAAATGTGAATTACTAGTTGTTTTTATTAGTTTATTGCAGAGTGATGTTCATGTTCCCTCACTGTAACTGAAATGGTTATGTTATGATCATGTGACTTCATGGATTGATGCTATGTTTCGATATGATAACCCATTAATCAATCTACTTAATTCTATTAGACAAGATTTTCATATCTACGCGTTTAAACTGCTTTCTAACTTCCTTAGGAAACACTGGCCAAAGAACTCGACTTTGAAAATGAGGCAGATAATGCTGCTCGTTGTGTTGCTGACTTAGAGAGTCTGGGGACACTAGAAAACAATGGTTCCGTTCATGTACCTTGGGTAAATCGTAAGCTAACCAGCAAACGCGTCCTTACAGCCGAATTCATTGATGGTATCAAAGTTAATCAAGTGAGTTTATTACTAAAAGACGTATTCCTTCATATGACAGTACGAAATTATATGTAAGCAAATTGTTAATTAAGTACTGTTTCGTATGCTACTTTTTTAACTCTATCTCTTGCTTAAGAATTAATGATACTACATTTCTGTCTGTATGGTGAGTGTCATTCGACTGTTTAATTACCATTTGGCTTGTAGACTTTAAGCTACAATGATTCAAAATTGGGTAATGTTAATGAAATTGAGTCATATGTTTAATTCATCTGTGTAACTGATTAATTTAGTTTTCAAGCAAGTGAAGTATTAGAATAAAGTAAAACGTGTGTTCAAGTTGATAAGGTTCGAATTCATGGGAAATAAAACAAAACGACGCATATATATTTTAAATAGTTGATAAATAATGCCAGAACACTAAGCAACTTTGCGTTATTTAAAGTATTAGTTTTCTGGGGGGACTGAAAGTATTGTAGTTGTATTGTAGGCGGCGAAGGTAAAACTCAAATAATTACTGTATACATTATGAGAATGCTTTTGTCTATATTCATCCATCTAATTATTAGTGCCTGAGCATATTTGATGTTAGTTGATTTTAGAAGGCCTTTATTGCATTGTGTGTTAAATGTCGTTGGTTCCATAAAGGCTGTTAAAACTGGAAGTTATGTTGTAATTTAGTCACCAATTTAACCATAAACTACTTGTTAGAAAGCAAGTGGTCACTCAAGAGTAATGTTGAGGGTAATTAGGCCACCAGTGAACTTCTGCTAGTGGATGTGAGGTTTACCTGTATGCTCCTGGATATTCAATATTAGGAAAAATTCAAAAGACAGTCGCGGTAAAGAGAATTAGCTTTTCGACGAAGTCATCAACTAGGCTGTACGTCCCTGTAAATATGGTAAATGAGTGAGCAAGTGCGTAAACTACTTCCGGTTGACGATCAAATTAATAAGATTAAAAATAAACAGGAAGGTTAGATGAAAACATAGTAGGATCATAATTATTGAAAGAATTAACTTAGAGCAAATACGGATTAGAAACATAACAATAACAAAATAGACAGGATGTATGGATAGGAAAAGTAATAGGATAATTACTATTGAGGAAATTGACCATATGATGGCTATGGTATAGAAAAAGGTCAAACGTATTTCTTTTGAATAAATAGCGTGGGCTTAAACTTTGGATCGCTAGTGCCCCAGCTATGTCCAGAAGCCTTGGTCTTCTATACAAGGTTTGATCGGATCTTGTATAGGACTTTAAAGGGCTTTTGAAATAGAGCCTAATGTTCTGAATTCGCTAGATATTCTGTTACCGAGTTATGTACACTACTACGTTGTCCCTGTTCTACCCAGGCAGTGTAGTGTTCCCGAGCGTGTTTTACAAGCGGACACATGGTACAGCTCCACAAGAGCAAATGAACTGGTATATGTATGTTGGATTGGCCCAATGCGACAGCTTTTCTTTCACATGCTAACTGAATAGTTTCTTGCAGGAAAATATTACTTGTAGGCTGTCGGCGAAGTATGTTTTACCGAGAGATTTCGAAAACCGTTATTAGAGAATTTCTTCTTTAGTATCACTTAAATTTGAGATTAAGCTACTTGGTCCTATTCAGAAGCTCTCTTTGTTTTTAGGTTTTTGTCTAGGAATCTGAATGGGAAGCTATTTTTCATCAAGATTGCTCGAAGATGTTGCAATTCATCAATAGATTCTTCGGTACATATTTTCTGGGTCCTAGAGGAGAGAGAATATATGAGGTTTCTCTTTCTGCTTAGAGGAATGGGACTCTGAAAATTGATAAACTGTCCGTTTCACGTGGGTCTTTTGTATATGTATATCCTCGGCGAGTTATCAGCATTTTTCGTAGTGGATTATCGAGGAAATGAAATATTGAATCAGTTTCAATTTCTAGAGTGAGCTTGATGTTTGCGTGGGTATTACTGAAGGTTTTGAGTGGTTTTCCGAGATCTAAATTCTCATCAAAAATGATGGTATCATCACTGTATCTCTTGTAGATATAAAGGTCATTGATAGTTAATTATAAGAAATTATTTTCTAGACTAACCATAAAAAGTCCTGCCAAGAGAGGGGCCTTAGGGGAGAACCTATTGCTACGTCATTTGTCTATGTGTTGATTTTGTTATTTAATCTAAAGTAAACGTTGAAAATGCGTTGAGTAACAGCTGCTTTCTATGAAGAATGGATAAGCTGACATTGATGTTACTGTATTGACTAAAATCACAAAGAAAATATCTAATTTATATCAGTGGAACATTCGTGAAGAGAGAGAGAGATGACTTCCGAGGAGATCATTTTTTTAAATATGCAGTATTGACATTCTCAAAAAAATCAGGTAAGTCAAATATGTCCCAGACATTGTATCTCGACAGCTGTTCTTCCACCGGTCCAAGAATCTCTACCGGCCACCTCGTGATTAAGTGATATAGAGCGTAGTGGAATGTCTTGTTTATGTACTTTGGATAAGCCGTACGTACGCGGCGCTGTAGAACTACGTGGATGAAGTTGCTCGTATAGTTGTTCGTGTAAAGTATCACTGTGGTGTAGTGAATATGACAATTCCGAAGGTAGTTATCAGAACATTGACCAAGTTGAATCTCCAGGAAAAAAAGGATGTCAACCAAAACCACTCATACGTAGCTGTTCATTAGGAATGGTGTATCATGTCAATTTAAGGGATTTCATCCCGCGTCATTTGTTTAGCAATAAGACACACATACAAACGTCATATTAGAACCTAGCATTATTACACAATGTGATAGACTCCTACTGTGGTGAGAGCAGGCCGTGAGAAAATATGAGCAAGGCTGATTCAACAGCCAATCACAGCAGACTTAACGTGGCAAAATATGATTCGCAGATAGAGAACTCTATTTTTCGAGGAATCCCGAAGCAACCAGTCAGAAGCCTGCGTTTGTCTGCTTAACTTCTGATAAACAACCAGTCAGATGACTGCGCTTGTCTACTTGCATAAGCTATAATAATGTATGTGAGATATATGTAAATACGTGTTGATTTTCATAATAAAATGATCTGTTGCCTGGCCCTTGTCTTCTGTTGTTACACTACAACCTATATCTGTAATCTAAATAAAGGGAATAAAATTAAATCTGCATTTGTATGTTTTATAATTGAGTTAAAATGAAGAGAAATATATTTTGTTCTCGGACCACCCTTTCTAATCTATTGACGGAATATCATGATTCTTTTTAACGAGTATTCCAGCTTAGAACTTCCAGTAATGAAATGAACTTAATGGACACTGTAGTACAGCTTTTTCATCTAACGGTGTCGAATGTCGTCTTCAGTTTAAGAGATTTATTTACATTTAGGCACATGTATGTTTGTGTTCGGAATCTCGGGTCAAAGTGAATTAGTGGTTGATAAACTAAAAATCAAGTTAGATGTTTGCTCAGATTTGTTGAGTTTCAGTCACTTTGTACAACGTATCACGTCTTTTTAATAGATGATGTTTAGAAAACAATATATAGTTCAAAGTTTGATCAAAGTAATGCCACAATTTTGGATATAATGTTCCTAAACTCCATTTAGACTATACAAGCTTCCGAAATGACATTAGTAAAACTAGTAATTCTCGTCATTTGGAGACTGGGATAGCTGTTGTTTGAGAGTCATCTCAGGCTTCCAAACCTCATCTGAGATCTCAGTGTATTTGGTTATTATTGTCGAACAGGTTTTTGAATATTAATAGAAATAGTCTATCAGGATGGAGCTGCTGTTTTGACTAAGGTTTCTCGTGGTTTCTTCTCTCTCTGCAATTATTGAAGTTCCTCTCTTAATCTCCTATCTTGGCTGTGATGGGACAGTCAGTAACTAGAGAAAACAAAATAATTGAGCAAAGAATATCCTTTCCGATAAATTCATCTTCTGGCTCTACAATTATATATATGTTTATATACATAGAATATTCTAGAATATTAGTGAATAACAATATTAGTTTTTTTTAAGTAATATCGATGTGTAGAGTAAGATCAATGCAATTACAGTTCATTAGAGATGCTTAAATAATAATAATAATAAAGATATAGTAACAAATAGAATATCAACTAAAATGATAAAAATTCCACAAAAATTCAGAATAGCTGAAAACTAGTTGAACTGTTCTTCCTGTCAAAGTGTGATGTTCTCTGTTCTAGTCACCTCTTTGTCAGTGGACTTGAACACCATTCTATTTGATCATCCTAAAGAGTCTTGTTAAAACATGTTGCCACTGTCTTCTCCATGTTTTATTTCTGCTTCCCATTATTGGCTGGAATCTTTGTGTGGGTTCTTTTAAGTCTTTGTTGTATCTGAAGTCTTACTGTATGTATATTTTTACATTCAAAATTTCGAAAAGAAAAACTTCTGAGATCTTCCATTCATTTCTAAGGGTCATCATCCATCCATCCATCCATCATCATATCATCCATGGCGATTTCGACATTACACGCATATACGGTCATCTCAATATCTTTTCCTGCAGCTGTCTACCTATATTACTATCTTCACCATATGATTGGGCCGGTGACGGTTTTCCATTACATTGCGGTCACTGATATGCTTACTAGAGCGTGGCTACTATCGAGGTATATATTCTGGAAAAATTGGTAGTTGTGTACTGAACCTCTCCCATGATACCACATCCCTCCTTCTTTTGTTGGGATAAGTGTGAAGATTGCTGTTTCAGATAACGTTTTTCTTTATATCTATGACTAGTACTTGATGGGAATGAACTGTTTTATGGGTGCAGTTGTGCTAGATTAAACTGGTACTGTGAAAGTGGCTAGTTCATCTGTTTTCGCATGAACACCACACTTCATCGTTCTGTTTTTCGCGGAGATTGAACAGTATTTGGTAGAATCTACTATTGTAAGAGTTTGGGATGCACTCAGTGGTTGCATGGACAGACAATATAAAATGGATATCAGTATGTGTCATAGTTCTGCTTAGCTCTTAGTTATATGATAGTGCTGCCGAACCTTGCGGGCGAAATTACGAGCGTCGAGATCCAGTCGAACCGTGATGTTCGCTACAACTTTATGCTCTATCTACATTAATAAAGTCGTGAAAACTGACTGAAGAAATCAGATGTACTGTTCTTCAAATTGAACCGTTAGCTCAAATTACAGAGGTAAAAGGTAAAAATATTGTAGATTTGTTAGGTACGATAAAGTGCGGAGATTATAAAACAACCAAGAACTTTTCAATAACCAAAAAGATGTCAACTGGCAGAGATGCGCGACATAGTGGACATTTTATGGTAAATAATTGCAGAACTTATTGTTTTACTCTGTCTGAAAAAGTAGGAGATTTGGTGCTGTATGGCGTAAAGTTCTAAAGAACATCTGTTTGAATCCGGTTACATACTATCCGTTTAAAGATATTAGATTATTTAGAGTTGAACTCGTAAGAAGAACTCTACATCTAACGTCAATTGAGCAGTAGGATAAGTTGAGGTGTACAATTTTTTGGGCCAGAATAAAATCCACACTATTCGGTTATCAGTAGCTCATTATACTCCTTCCAGCTTATATTACGGCTTCTCCCTCAGATATACACAGATATAGAGCAGTAATTGTTCTCATTGTCGTCACTCTCAGTCTAATCTTTTTCACGTGGAGGAATTTCAACTAATAGTCATTTGAATTAACGAGCGTCCATATCATAGTAGTTGGTGCTTAACCATATCCTAAGTTTGTAAATTTCCTCTTTTTATTTTTACCAGACCAATTTTTATGTATATTTAGTTTAGCTGGATGTACCTGCATTTCTCAGTGGTGATGAGAAATGCAGGTACGTCCAGACGACGAGTCCCAAATAGGACGAAATGCGCATCCTGGATTCCACTGCTAGTCACCATCCACCGATTAAATATTTTTACTATTTAATTAGCTTTAGTTTTGCTGAATAGAAGCACTTTCCTTTCTCCGTTCGCTCAGTTGGCTTTCTTATATGCTTCTGACTGATTCATATTATAATCATGAAGGTGCTATTGGGTGTGTTATTAGCAGGCAGACACCCGTGTGTTGGTTAGTTATTAGACAGATAGTTGGGTAACATAATCAGAAAATGTAATAAAGTTATAATCCAGTTAATTCAGCAGATATCCTCACTTAAACTCATGTGATATTGGCCGTTGTTCTAAAACGACAAACCTGCCTTATTGGCTTCTAGTTGACGTAGATAGAGAGAGAGATGGTGATGAAGATTCTGATAGAAGTCTGGGTCGCGACGGGGGACAGGCGTTCTGATGCCCCTACCAACGAGGTTAAGAGACTGCAGCACTGATCCAGTTTCAAATTTACTTTTATCAAGATTTTTAACCTGTTGTCGTGTGTATGTGTGGCATGGAAGTCATTCATCGCAGCTGGATTTTCTAAATGATTTATTATTTGCTTAGATATCTGCTCTACGGGATGCTGGCTTCTCACTAGCTGAGTTGGATCGCTTGTTGGTTCGTGCATTTAGTCATCAGGTGTTTTGTACTGGCTTCGTACATGCTGATCCACATCCAGGCAACCTACTAGTACGACGGAAACCTCAGATAAAGTTAGGTATTTCTCAGAAAATCAAATCATCTATTCAAAGTATACCCAACATTTTATTTGATACACTCATATGGATGGGATTTCTGTTTTATTTCCCCGTCAACATCTTAAAAAAACTAAAAAATCCTGAACATAAATTGTTTACTCATCCAAATGCAAGTCGAGGTTCAACTGAAATACAACTGGTTCTTCTAGATCATGGTTTGTATGATACTCTTCCAAGTGGTAAACGGAAAGCCTTATGCAAAATGTATCAAGCCATTTTAGATTCCAATGAATCAGTAATGAAAGAAGCATCTTCATTTTTAGGCATTGAAGGTAAAGTTATAATCTTTCTTCTGTTCTCATTTGTGTTGCTATTACGAGTTCTAGCATAGGCCTCTTTACTTTCTATGATTTACATACATTTAAATTATAATATTCCTTTTTACTATATAGTCAACAAGTTGGTTGGGCTATTGGGTATTTGCACTGATAGAATACAAGTGATAAATAATTTCTGATAGGTTTAAACGAGAAAACATCATGTCTCTTTGTCAGTTCAACTCAATTCTAGACCTTCCACCTAATTTATAATCCCGTATCCATGCTACTGTATTTTCATAAACAATTATGTTTTTGGAGGTACATTCCGTTTTATGACGGATTTAAGTGGTTGGAGATTTTAGGCAATGTGAATTTTAAATTTGTCACATGTATTACTAATTTGTTCGTTATATTCACTTTTCATGATAAAATATTCTATTACATACCCTGATAACTAACTGAAAAGCATGTTAAAATGACTGTTCAATTGTTTTTTCATACAGTTTGATGCCTACGAGTTCATTAGTTTGTCAAAACCCAATTAAGAAATTATTGGCACACTCAACTACTGATAAAGCTCACTTGGGGAATAGATTTTCATCGCTGAATTTGTTTGAGATGTATCTGTTTCTATGTGAATGTCTCTTACACTAGACTATGCGCTTAAAAGAAAAGGAAAGGGTTTTGAATCATCATAGTCGTCTGTTCTGTTGATTAAACCCAGTGCTGAAATATATTCACTACATTGGTAACTAATTGGATAGATAGATCAACATTGTGTCTTGGACAGGAGTTAAAATTGTCATAGTTCTCTACAGTACATGAAAGGAAACAAATCAACGGGAATAGAATGATTATTTGATGGGTAGTGAAATTTTTGCAGCTTTCAAAACTGATAGTGAGTGAATATATCTATGCCACTGATAAACTGTAGACCATATCACTGAACGTGATCAACAACTGATCCTTAACATTTATGGGACCTTAGTAAAGCAAGTTACAATTCCCTTCATAAATTAGGTCAGTAGTTACAGAATTCATGGGTCAGTATATTTCCTTGATCCGGTCAAGCAAAGCTTTGTGTTTTGATTTAGTGCTGTATGCATATCTGTATGTATGTAAGTGTTGACCAAATGAATCAGATGTGATAATCCTTTTGAGGCTGGCTAATTTCGAACAAACCTCCCAACAAGGGGAGGTTGGAGGGAGATAAAAAGAAAATATATATAAGACAAATTGTGAAACCGTCTGATTGAATTGATATGATTATGAACAATAATTTATGCTTGAAGCTTCATCCAGTTGTTGGTACTGCGTCAATCTGTAATGTTTAAAATCAACTTACCTAATACGTATCGTTAACCATTTGACTGAAGCCTTGCATATCGTAGCAAATAGTTATAATTTATTTTTTCTTAATTTCCTCCTGTCAGCTCCTGCTTCCGATAGCTTCCTTGTAATCAAGAAAATAAAAGACAGATTCAGAGAAGAAAATTTTCTTTACCGAAGAAATCGTCTTCTGAGGCTGTACAGTCGTATTCATACTTACAGAAATATATAGTGGTCTATTATTGAGGGATACGGGGTGACATAATTGATATAATTATTCAGAAGTGGCTTTAGAAGTTAAAATTAAAAGCTGCAAATTACGCGGTACTCAACGACACAAAGATAGAAATTTGGTAAGGTTAAAATTGCTATTCAGTGAGAAAAAAGGTATTTGAGTGTCATTTTAACAAGTGTGAAGAGGGTGTGAAATGAGAACGTGCCACTGCGTCCAATCTTGGATATGACAAATTCCCCATATCATGCTATTGCGAAATGGCTCGTAGACATCCTCCTACCTATCAGAAATAACCTCTGCAAGCATAGTGTTTCTGATTCGTTTGAATTCGTCGATTCAATAAGTGGTGCTAATGTATCCGGGAAGAAAATGATATCCATGGATGTTACATCCCTTTCCACCAATGTTCCCCTCACTGAAACTATCTGCTTTATATGCAAATTCATTGAGAATAATAATGTAGACGTATGTGTTCCGATCCACTACTTAAAGAAACTACTATTGAGGTGCACTCTAAATGTCCAATTCAAGTTCAACAACACGATTTATAGACAAAGAGATAGAGTGGCAATGGGGTCACCATTGGGTCCTTTACTTGCAGACTGCTTCTTGGTTAGTTTGGGGAATATTATTTTATGGTCTAATACCGATAGTTTCCATTTGTACCAAAGATACACGGGTGATACTTTCATCATATGTGACAACAATACTGACATCGAATTGATAACCAAAGAGTTCAACAGCTGCCATCATGCCATCAAGTTCACGTCGAAATCAGAGATTAACTCGAAATTCCATTTTTCGGATGCTTTTTCTAAAAAGGAGATCTGATGGTTCTCTTCAAAGATCGATCTACAGGAAACCAACATGGAGTGGTCAGTACACAAATTTCCATAGCCGGGTCCCTTTGAGAAGAAAGAGAAATCTGATCCATTCCTTATCCTCAAGAATAAGGAGGATATGTTCAAGTGATGCAATCGATAGGGGACTGGGGCGACTCAGACAATTCCTCATAGAGAATGAATATCCTCCAAGATTTATCGAGAAAAACATGAAGTTAAGGGAAAAGTCTGAAAGAATCCAGACGGTGCCGAAGAAACTGTTATTTATGAGTGTTGAATTTAAAGGTGATACTGCAGCTGAGATTCTGAAGAATCGCTTACTCAGATCACTGAGGAAAGCCTTTTTTATGGCTGAACTGCGTAACAATTTCTACAGCTGACAAATGACCATCGGATGTGTGAAGGATAAACTGCAGCTTTGGGCCACCTCAATGTGTTTATAAATTCACCTGCTTGTGTGGAGCTAGTTATATTGGCCGCACAAAGCGCACGCTTTCCAAACACATATCTGAACATTATCTGGCATGGTTAGCAAAGGGACAATGCAAGACAATCACTAGCTCAATTCTCGAACATTTGGTGAACTCAGTTCACGTAGCTCTACCAGAGTCATCTTTCAAGATCATCTACAAAGTGAAGCCGAATGGTACACAGGGTGTCAGGTTTCAGCTTTTGCGTATGGCGGAGGCACTGGCAATTCGTCAATAAAGCCCTGAACTCTGTATGCAGAAAAAGTTTTTCCAGTCTCTTATTCTACCTTGGTCTTAACCTCTTCAATAATCGTTCCCTGTAAAAAAAACATTTGATTTTTCGTTTCTGTTTTGATTTTTAATTTTACTTTTAATTTGCTTTTGCTTTAATAATTAATTCACTATTATCACTCTCATATACTCCTCCTGTGCATTTCACACCCTTTTCACACTTGTTAAAATGACACTCAAATACCTTTTTTCTCACTCAATAGCAATTTTAACCTTACCAAATTTCTATCTTTGTGTCGTTGAGTACCGCGTAATTTGCAGCTTTTAATTTTAACTTCTAAAGCCACTTCTGAATAATTATATCAATTATGTCACCCCGTATCCCTCAATAATAGACCACTATGTATTTCTGTAAGTATGAATACGACTGTACAGCCTCAGAAGATGATTTCTTCGGTAAAGAAAATTTTCTTCGCTGAATCTGTTCTTTGCATTTGTAAAATTCTAATTCCAGTACACAGAAAAACTAGAAGTAAACTGACTGACTCTTCTATCATTTTTTTACTGTTTAGATTGGGCTACTTTCGGTGAAGTTATTCTTCAAAGACCATGGCGTCGCCGAACACTCAGATTGCCATCACAACTCTCAGATGCAGATAGAGCCTATTTACGCTCAACAGCAATTGAACATTTTGACCGGGTAATGTCGGTTCTTGAACAAATGCCGCGCCCAATGCTTTTGTTCATCAGGTAAGTAATTGTAATTATATCGAAGCAAATGTAATGTAGGAAATAAATCACTAGTAAAGTAAAGCGACCGGTTTTGTGATAGAAGTCTTATGTTTCTCATAGTTATTACATTTTTATAAACATACACAGACGATATATTCATTTATCTATACTTTGTGTATATTAGATTATTATCCCTCAGGAAAGACTGCTTGATACTCACAAACATGTACAGGATCTAAGCACAAACTGATGATAGCAGCTCAAAAATAAACTTCGAAAATTGCAACTGCTTTAAGCAGTAGTAGGTATTTGAAACCTGAAGGACAGAAAAACCTGTGGGAGTGGGTTATAGAAAACAGGTATTTGTACTAAGTAAAAAGACTGACATACAGAAAACGGTTGTTATGCTGTTACACTTTGAGAAATTGATGGATTTGTCTCGATATATTCTCCAGCTGTTTTAACTATGGTCATAGACAAAATAAGGTCTCTTGCTCTGTTCAGTATGAAAATTACTTTATTAACGTAAGTTAGTGTAGAGTAGTGGCCTTGTTTATTGTGTTGAAGCTTAGTTCTACACTTGCAAAAACGGTTATGTTTTTCTATTGCTCCACTTTCTACGTCGTTAAAATATCTGAACAACACGTTAACCCCTGAAGTGTCACTGGTTATACGGATGTCGTGTTATACAAATGGAAAGGAATGTATTTGTTTTCTGTAGAAATTAATCTCTTGCATTACAATTCGAACTCGATACTGAAGATTACATGACCGGAAAGGATAAGTAACTGGGATCTCTAGCAACGAACCAGCCTAGAACCTTTTGCTCAACAAATACGCAGAAGGGAATGGAGACAGATTGGACATGCACTGAGGAGATATCTGAGTGACATTACACACTAGAGTCTTGAGTAGAACCCGAATAGAAGCGATGGGTTAGGCGTCGGTGGGTGACTAGGCGAAGACTCAGTGAGAGGGAAACGGTAGATTACGGACAGTTGTGGGGCCCTTTTGAAAATGATGACAGAGGATCTGGTGGAATGGGGCTGTAACACTGAAGCCCTGTGTTCCACTCTGAACCTAAGAGACGAGTAATAATATAATACAGTACTCGTGTTTTGGTGCTGAATGGTTAGCTTACTAAGTCAATAAAACTTGTCGTCAAGTTTAGGGTGGTCAATATCTTTTGATACTGTGGATTTGTCGTGAGGAACTTGAGAACTCAACTGTTTTCCTTCTAAATCACACTATTTGTTGCACAACTGAGCAACTGCATGGTACTACTCTTTATCTTATTATTTACCTGAAAGGTATGCAAAAGCGGGTGCTTTTGTAGTGTTTTTCACCTATGAGATAGCCTTATACATTATATGTCTGTTCGGTGTTAGGGTGTTTCATGGTACTGAATCAATTGGTCGTGGCCTTCAGTTGAAGAAACTCAAGTGTATCAGTGCTTAGATCAACAATAGGATGAGAAAAAGCTTACTATTCCTATTTATTTGGTTTGGTTTTGCCTTGAGAATTGCCTAACCCGATATCATCATCTCAAATTCTCTTCTCTTGACAGAACTTTCGTTGTGTTCATTTGACGTGTTATAACTTTCAGCCATGTTCAGTTTTACTGAATCTCCTTTGTTTGTTACCTATACATGGTATACTTTCATTGAAGACTAGTCAGTGATTATCACGTGTGTCTAGTCCTTTGTTTGATGCATACTGAACTCTGTCAGTTAACTTTACAATGTGGCCACAATGTTATGCGGCTTGCTATCAGAGTGCACTTCGAATTGTTGATATAAGATAGTTAGGGACAATCGGGAGGAAGCCTTTGACCTAGATTTCATACTAGTTGGGACCTAGCATTGCAAACTTGACTGATAGGATTCAGTCTGAACCAAAAGCATAACGAGACATCTTACACAGGTTACTGACTAGTGTCCAATCACAAATATTCAATACAGTCCTACACGATGTCAATCGTCGGTCCGAACAGCTCAGTGGTAGTGTCTCTGATTGTGCCACTGGGTGACGTGAGCTTGAATCTCAGAAGGGACACGAGGTCCTTCAAGGTTTGTAGATACGCCTTACTGATAAGTGCTAACTAGCATGAGACTTAGATCCAAGAGTTCCTGTCGATTGCCTTCAACCATCTAATATCAACTATACATGGTATAGCTGACGGGAATCTCTTCACACTTCTTTTTGTATGGAGAATGCAACACTAACGTGACCATATAAGTCCATAGGCTGTGATCTGTTTTAATAAGTTTCTGCATTTATTTTGTGCTTAAGTAATTACAACCTATAGATATTGTTTTGTTAATTAAAAATTACTCATTTCCCTGTCGTTATTTCATGTACCAACGTTTGTGTACATTAACTGTTGATCATTAAAGTGCTAGCGAGAAGATATTTCAATTCTTTTCATTTTTAATCACAGGAATTTGAATCTTATTCGTTCTATTTGTCGTTCTCACGGGGATCCTATTGATCGTCACTCTTTAATGATTGATAGTGCTGTTCTTGGGAGTCGGATAACAACTTCACATTCTGGCAAATTGATTCCCATGAATTGGAGCGATAAGTTACAGGTGAATATCATATTGCAAAGATACCACTGGAAGTTAAGGTAGTTTCTTTTGTTTCTAACCTACTTTTATTTTGACCTTATATTGACTTGCAGTTGTACGATTAGGCATTACAGTGTGAACGTAATATTTTAAAATAATCATAGAAATTCAGACTTTTGTCTATTTTAAGAAACCTGCTTTCAAATTGACTTAATGTTTTAAGAGATCAAGGCTGTCAACAAGTACGCAAGATACATTTGTATGACAGTGTGCGTGTATTTCCTCTCTTGAAATCCCAGGGAATAGTTAGTAAGCCTAATCAGAACAACAATTAAATAGTCTAAAATGCAAATTATATGTCGGAATCAGAAAAGTACGTTAGCGGAAACGGTCTGTTTAGCTAACTAGAGAAAAACTATAAAAACAACTTAATGACAGTATGCCAAAATGGAGTGAATGCTTAACCGCATATCATCAGTTGAACCAGTAGACTTGAACAATGAAGGTCAGCACCCTCTGTCGAATGATGAAAGCTATGGGCTAATAATTTTAGGGAATTATTTATCGCTACACTGTGGTGAAAACGTGGTACCTCCTGGTACTTGAAATTACTTTCTTTCTCCATTATGCATAAGATTTTATTTTGATAAATCACACAGTGTTATACAGTAACATTAACTGATGACGACGTCCCGAGCACAAACTATTGCTCATAATCATATCAAGTCACTTACTCACACAACTTTTTCCTTCATTTATATACACGTGTGGAATCGACTAGATATTTGAATAAAAATCAATATGGGATAATGTACTTACTTTACTTTACTTTACTTCGGCTATCTCCTACGGGAGGATGAGCCGGCTTCATGAACCATGAAGTTTCATGGGAATTGGGTACGAGTGATGTCCCCAGGATCGCTCGGCCTTTTGTTTGAGAGTGCAGCTCTAGCCTTTACACAACCAAGTGTGACCTACAAGGCAGTAGGAGTGGAGTAGGGAGTCCACTATCCATTGGCAGCCGGTGACCGGAGTCCGGTTCATTCGCCTTTTTGAATAGGGCCAGTCATCCAGGGCATCCAATAAGCCCTTTGTCCATACGTCTGCCGGTGAGCTTCATACGCCAGTCGTTGGAGGTTTGGAATCAGGGTTTAGCCATCTCCCCTAGACTGTCATCCAATGGACAGTCAACCCGGTGAAGAGCGCCGGGCATCCGCTTTTGCCCTCTCACTTTGGTGAAAAACACCTCCGCCACGTGAAGGCAGTGAGTAGGACTTCCTCAGGAGAGGCTATGTAAGACGCCCGGTCATATGGGAGCATTTCAAGAGGTGTACGGAGGGGTGGCCAACCCGCAGCGCAAGACACCCACCCCCGACCATCCTGAGGCTTTGGAGGCGATAATGTACATTCAGATATAATAATAATATGAGTGTTATTCATCAATTACAATCAGACGGGAAATAAGACGGGTGTTTTTATAGTCATGATAACCAACTTGTTAGAATGTCATGATGCACGTGAATTGAAATACAATTTTGAGATTATTTATTATCCTCTTCTCATTTATTTGGCGGTAATAATATCTCCTATATTTCTGGTATTTCCATTGAGTCATTTCTGTTGCATGTGTTGGGTGTAGACTCAATGGCTTTAAAAGCAGTTAAAAGAGAACTAATTTCCGATCCTGAACTTAGTCATAGGACAAAGCTGCCCGTTGAGAAAATTATTTCAGGAATTCAGTTATGCCTCATATCTACTGTCTTTGAATTTCAGGGCAAAATATATAAACAAACAGACTGTGTAGCAATGGGATAACCAATATCCCCTAGCGTAGCAGATATACTTATGGACAGCGGAGAAAATATTGGTCTTAATACATTTTATCCTAGTCCAAAAATATGGTGGAGATATGTGGATGAGACTTTCACACACAGTGTTAAAAGCAGAACATATCTCCAAGTTATTGACACATATAAACTCACTAGTAAAGGGAATAAAGTTCACATTTGAATCGGAATATGAACAAGGAGAATCAGCTATGTTAGATTGTAAAATAAAACGAACAGAAGAAGGTAAACTGCACACTAGTGTTTATAAAAAGCCAACACATTCTAATATATATTAAGACATTAATTCATCTCATCCGTTGTCTGTAAAGGCTGGTTTGGTTAAGTGTCTAAGAAACGGAGCAAAAGCACTAAGTAGCACAAGACTAGACCTAAATGATGAAATAAAACAGATAGAAGAGACGTTGGTGTTAAATAACTTTCCCGTAAAGTTCATTAGGAAGATCGAAAATGGCCAAAATCAAAATAAAAACAATTGTGAAACTAGTAATGATAACATAAGTATCAGAGAATATAATTCATCTACTGGTTATACCACATAGGGAGGGGACGTCTGAGACCCTTCGTAAGATTCTCAATAAAGCAGGAATTAGGATGGCATTGAAACCTACAAACTCACTCAGAGACAAGCTCTGTAGGCTAAAGGACACTATAGGTTGACCTAATTCGACAAAATAATATAATTTACAAAATACCTTGTAATGACTGTGAGGTCAACTATTACAGGTCAAGCTAGTAGATCGGGGGTAATCAGATTGTCGGAACGAAAAAATAAAGCTAAGGTAAGAATCGTTGACCCTGAGAAGATAAGTAATTCAGAAAAAAGCTCAGCAATTGCACTGCATGCATTAACACACAACCACACAATAGGGTGGGACAGGGTTAAGATTCTAAGGAGTAACCTACGTAGGTGGAGTGAGAGATTGATTACTGAATCCCAACACATGCAACAGAAATGACTCAATGGAAATAGCAGAAATATAGGAGATATTATTACCGCCAGATAAATGAGAAGAGGATAATAAATAATCTCAAAATTGTATTTCAATTCACGTGCATCATGACATTCTAACAAGTTGGTTATCATGACTATAAAAACACTCATCTTATTTCCCGTCTGATTGTAATTGATGAATAACACTCATATTATTATTATATCTGAATGTACATTATCCCATATTGATTTTTATTCAAATATCTAGTCGATTCCACACATGTATATAAATGAAGTAAAAAGTTGTGTGAGTAAGTGACTTGATATGATTATGAGCAATAGTTTGTGCTCAGAACGTCGTCATCAGTTAATGTTACTGTATAACACTGTGTGATTTATCAAAATGAAATCTTATCTATAATGTAGTTAGACTCTAGGATGCAACACAATTGATTTTTTGGAGATTGGTATATCCTTCCTCTGTATAATTTTATTCGAATGATGAGAAGAGCCGTTGACTTGATTCGCAAAGTGATTGACAAGGTTCCAATGAAATAACGACAAACGCATAACCAGTTAACTTGATTTTAATTGGTCTTTTATGACAGATATTCCACAGTGTTGGGGGAGAACTAACCGCATTCGATCTGTGGTGAGCAAGAGAATCATTTTCGGATAACAAGAGTAAATTTCAGCTGTAAACTGATCGACAACCTTTTCAGATGTATATTTTTTAAGTGAAAAGCTACGCATTGCTTAGTGGTTGCGCGAATGGTGGCAGATAAACACAGGATTCAAATGTATCCCATACTTGCTAAAATTGAGTACCACTGACCTCCCTTCACTCAGTCCGTTATTGTTGAACCTATTTATCTCACTCAACACAGCATTAGACGAGAGCTAAAAAGACTACATTTATGGTGGTTTATTGATCAGTTTACACCTTTGGTAATTGGAAAATGGCACAACCTTGGCTTTTCTAAAACATAAATTACTTTGAAGTCATCAGAATATAGTTTAGAGTGCTTGATGATATTAAGTTCACCACCATGGTCTTCGGTGATTACGCATCTGAAAGACGAATAATTTTATGTCATCATTGCTTTGATCTAATGAAGTATATTTCACAAATTTGGAAAAGAAAATTACAAAGTAAGCAATCCATATGTAATTATGATGATCCACTGCTGCACTGAATTGTGATTATTGAAGCAAATTTTAGTCTCTTCAAGTGAACTGACTTCATTGATGTCTGCTTACTCGCCTCATCGAATAAGGTGCTGTCCGATATTCCTATAGTTAGCTTATAGTCAATCGTTTTATATATTCAGTATGTTACGTACATATTATTTATTTATCATCATATCCTGTTTGATGCTGTCTTGTGAGCTTTTACCTTCCTTTTTATTTTACAATACATAGGTATGAAGCTTTCTGCTTGTGGATTCAAAGTGTACTTTATCATCTGTTATATACTTTGGGACAGGCACCCGACATAAGAGAAATATCAGCTTTATATAGTGCTGCAGCGCCTAAAAGCCTATCAGTCAGTGTTTAAACATCCTAGGATCACCGATATCCCCTAGCGAAGCAGATATATTTATGGACGGCTGAGAAAATATTGCTCTTAATGATGATATTAATTGTGCATGAAAAGACTCCAGAAAAAATTAGAAATGGAAAAACGCTCATATTTTCCCTATGATTGTTATGTGATATACGCTTGCTTTGCACCTTTCCTTCAGTAAAAACGACTTCAATTTCTATATTTTCCGGATTTTTTTATGTTTAAGACATCTGCCCCAATATTCAAATACACATCAGTTATCCTCAATTTCGGCTATCATCTCCTTGTCCTCATGCATGTATGTATATATATATTCTAAAGGCCACAAAACTTTCGACTTCTAATTAACTCAACATCAAGCAAACTTTTCCACCATATGCATCGGGAAATCACACTTTTCAAAACGCATTTATACATACTAATCCCGAAATCAACAACCCTACATCCGACAATATCAAATATCCGAAACTAAGTTATCTACAGCACTCCGCACTTACTAACTACCACTGCTGCTATGCAGTGAATCTAGTTGTCTAGATGCTGACATAACTGAATAGAACTGCTAACCGACTTCACAGGACTACATCTCTCCCAGATATTCGACAGTCTACCGATCACTAGACAAAGCGAAGTTGTTTGACACTGACTCAAGTGTGTGTGTGTGTGGTGGTTAATTTGGGTGTGTAGTATTGTTGACTATAGTGTCCTGATGTTTGAGTCAGATGTCATTTTGTCAAGATGTACAAATAAAAGTACTGATTATGTATAAGGGCGAATGTGTTATAAGTGAATATAGGTGACAATACGATTGCTAGAATGACCCTCGGTGGTCCCAGGTGCAGGCCTCAAACCTGTAGCCGATTGGCGGAGTGGTTCGATTCCGTCTTCCTGGCGTTTGAGCAAATCATCGTGTACCATTACCTTTGTGAACATTGAGAAAGTCTTTGCAATTTCTTATGCGGCTGGCAACTACCTATCGCGTACTCTGACACGTTTGGGAAGTATTCAGACCTCATATCTATTTCCCATGATATTAAGGTCTTCCATGCTTCATTTCGTCGGGAAACGGTCATTAACAAAACATGTGTTTACAATGTCACAATTCGATGTCGACATTTTAAGAGGAATCGCGCAATTGAGATTGTTTGTTTTCGGCACCTAGACACCGTTGACACTTTCGAAGAAGTATTCTGTGTCCTCCGTGGAATATGTTGGGCATTCATCTGCGAACGCACCAGAAGTTTTCTCTTCATTACTATTTTCCCCCAAAAATGCCGAATGCCAAAAGAATTATCGCTGACTGAGGAAAAATTATTGGATCATATAACTGACTAAATTTCATGCTCAGATGATTCTAATTGACATGATGGATATATTCGGGCTTCGTATAGCTGATTGACTCGTCTCCACATAATGATCTCATTAATGTGGCTTTTCACATAAGAACACTTTATGCATCAGTGCAGTTGGGACCCAATGGTCACAGGGTGTGTACGCCAGGCGAACAGCGGCAGTGCGAAACGAGGTGAGATGAGGCAAAGTTAGCCCTTAGGCACCACTAAATAGCAATCAGCGAATGGCGTTGGACGTATCAGTCACATGAAGGAAGCATTTTTGCTTATGGAAAACATATATTTATGAATAAATAAATGCTTAAAACTGTGCTAATTTGTGGTAATTCACGATTGTAATTTATCACGTATCTGATCGTGCCTGTAAAAATTGCATGCATTTGATGTAAAATTACCCGTCTACACGAAATATAAATTGCTTATTATAAACAACTGGAGCATGACATAAGCTTGAGAAAATACCAGAATAGTATGCACCAGTAAGCTTCTAAGTATTACAAGACAGATAATGTGATCCACAGTGATCTATGCTGTATTTAATGCAAATAAACCAGAAAGCTCTTTTACATTTCAGCGATATAGACATGATATAACTTAATAATAATATAGCATACATTTATTCCTGTCTATGTAGGAACACGCCAATTGCACATGCATGGATAAGAATGGTCTAATTACATAAATTTGGTTTATGGTGAATCTAAATGGTTGCTGTCCCCTTTGACTTCAGTTTGTGGGAGCAGTCTGTTAGCTAGTCACTAGATGAAGCACATTAAGAGGTATAGAAATATTGTCTTCGCATCAACATAAAATCACAAGTCTGCGTTGGATGGATTACAAACACTTGGGAAAACATAAAGCTTGAAGCCAATTCTTCCACATAACTTTGCTGTGTATGGCACCGAATCTTATTCTTGATTTATAGCCAGATGAAATGGTGTATTCATTCGAAATAAGTGATATATTTTGTCGAGCGAGTCTTTTAATAAATTAAAAGACTCGCATCTAAAAAGAACGCTATAGTGGGCCTATAAAGTCAGTTCAACACTCCCTGTTAAGGGCTGCAAACCTCTTAACTACACCTTGTCAGTATATTCGGCTAGACAAAAGACCCAAGCCGCACGTGTCGCATACTTTTCAGACTTGACAGCTATATAATAACTGAACAGCTTGGAGAATCTGGGGATATTTTGGCCTCATCTACAAAATTCAAGAATGTTAAAATAGCCTTGGACAAAAACCCAAACCAACGACAAATAGCTAAGAACACCTTAGATACAAACAAGATCATACCACAAAACACGTCTGATGTCAGTGCTGAAGTATCAAAGGACACTGGAACACAAAGTGACACTCATAGTACTAGGTGAACAAACGACATGTAAAAGTGAAGGAAACCCAAAAGGAGCAGTTACGCTGACATGAGTCTTAAAGTTCATCAGAGCACACCTAGGAAATCTGCCGAACCCTTACATGAAGTAGACCTGGATGTTCCCACTACCGATAACCTGCAGATATCAACAGGTCACACTCCAACCAGGGACAAGCAAGATAGTCTCACTATAAAAACCGGAAAAAAGTCCCCAAGGCGTCTATATACCTCCCTTGCGATAAGCCCAACAAACAACATGTAAGCCTGGAAAAGAACCATGAACGTATTGCGGCAGGTTCTATCAAGGAGACGGAACACATGAGTAAAAGTGCTGCTCTACGAACTAAGTGTAATAAACGAAGTGTGGACGACTGACTACGTGAGGTGAGAGCTAACAGCAAATATAGCTTTATCCACACAAAACCATGAGTTAGCAGACACTCATGGGGCGCCAAACTGACTAAACATCATAATGAGACCCACGGTTGCCGTAACAGCCAAGATCGTAATATGCCTGTAGGCACATATAACCTGAGGACGGAACCCAAAATGGATAATCAGAACACATGGGCGGCTAGAAGGGACACCATCAAGTACCATGTGAACGGAAAATTATTTTCGAACCCTCGTAGTAGTTATGTAAAGCCCCATCAGCATAACGGGCATAGATTGGCTCACGGTCCTGCGTGCACACATGAAATGAATCAACCAACGTGCGACTACTACGTACGCACTACCCTCGAGACAGTCTAAAAACAGGGTACTTGGGCCCTGTAAATTACAATCCGAACAGGGAAACAGACTATCTAATACCGAGAAATTATCCCAGATGCCTACGCAATGATGCTAGAAACATATATACAGGTTTAATTTGGCTGCTGCAAACGATAGCCCCTCTCGCTGCACAATTTCTTCAGGGAATAGTACATACGCGGACACTGTCTGGTCTCAGAATCCCTCCGAACATAATATAGGCAACCAGGAGTTAGGGATAGTAACAACAGCAACCCTGGTTTTCTGAAAATTGTGCTCTTATATGTTCGATCTCTCCATAACAAAATAACATCACTTCGCAACTTGGTATAAATGTACGGCCAATACTAATCCTGGTGACAGAAACGCGATTAACTAATAATATACCTGACACAAAGCTGATAACTATGACATCGACAGGAATCATATAGTGGTGAAAAGAGGAGGTGGGTGTCTAATATATGCCTCTAAATCCACTGACTCCAATACTTTTACTAACTCAACTATCAACAAATTCCCAGAATCTAGGTGGATAGGCCTCCACACGAATGAAATATATATACGACTACTGGGGAAATACTAGAGTATGTGCCTACGCCGGGATTCGACAACAAAGTAGTTTTTAGCGGTATCAACCTCCCAGAAGTAAACTGGGATACCTGTACTGGACCCAGAATACACGATGAGCTCCTAGAAGCTATTGATGTAGCAGGATGGAAGCAGTGCGTACGCCTCCCAACAACAATAACAATATTCTTGACTTAATTCTCTGCCACAAAATAGAGCCGATCTCGATAGGGGTGGGAGATAAACTCGATAACAGTGATCACAACATACTGTACTGCACTTTACCTTTTCAACTAACAACTAAATGTGTACCTAAAAATTCCCCAGTTTACTATCAATATAGGGACAATAGAAATGCCGACTAGTAATTCCTATCTGCGCTCTTGAGAAGCTCTGAATGGGATGTATACTTTGCCAATATTACCAAGTAACACCTAATATCTTCTACATGACAATCAATTCAGTAAGATACACGATGGTGCCCCTAAAATCTGCCTTAAAGACACCAAATCTATTCATAGACGGCAAAACGCGATTAAAACTAAGGAAATTTCATGTACTCAATGAATCTAGTGCACTACACCCGACACATGAAACACTTAAAAATCTTGAAGAGAGACAAACAAATGAAGCCACAACTCGAGGAAAATAAAGCCCTGGGGGGCACCTCGAAAACTCAAGAACTCTGCAAGATCTTGCGAAAACGACTAAAAAAGGGTAAAGACAACAATGTTAATCACTTCGGACATGAAGGCGTAATTTGTGATGAATAACAGATTACCAGTGAACTTCTCAGCCAGATGTTTTACAGTGACGCCAAAGCATACACGTCCCTAATTCTCGACATAACCTGCGAAAATAACTACAAGTCAGGTGAAATCAACTTTAATGTACAAAATATAGTCTCAGTGGTAGACATTAAAAGCTAACGGTGGTTGTGGGATAGA